ACCTGCCTTTGCACTCCTGCAATATCCACAAAACACACCAGGCTAGTAAGATGAGCTTATGTTTTATCAAGGCTTAATTCTAAAAATAGCCAAGTTATCCTTACAGATGGATATCAGCAACATTTATGAAATAATGAGATCCTTCCCCTTCTCTGCTAATGACACCAATGTCGATTCGTGATCTCACCCCTACGATACAGCAGCATCAGCAAATCCTAAGAAAATAAAAGCTTCTCGAGTTTGTATTTCCTAAAAATTAACATCAGGAAGAAAAGGATCCAGAAAGGGCATGTAAAATACCTCTAGCAATGCGTTCTACGGCTTCATGGGGATCATTTTTCCTGAGAAAGTAAAGCAAGTACTTGAGATAAAACAATCATATCATAAGCTTAAAGCAAATAAATCCAGACTGGATCAGCTCAAACTAACCAGCCAAATGTACGGGCAAAATCTGACCCAGTCCCCAGGGGAATGAGCTGCAAGAAGGGACAATACTGTTATGCCTTTCTCGAAGAAATGCAAGAAAAGCAATCCAAAATGATGCTTGCAACCGATGAATGAAAATTGCAAGTGATAATAAAAGAGCAAAAAATACATAAATTCAAGATTATCATTTATCAGAGCCTAACGAAAATACTTACAAAAAGAAAGAGGATTCAAAAAAAGAGCTTATGGTAATTCTTACACCAAGTGCAGTTGAATGAACAGCCTCTGTATTCTGATTAGCAACAGGTTTCCCATCCCAAAAGAACCCATTAACAACCTGCTTCTCAGAAGCCAAAAAGATTGATTACTTTCTCACTTGCTCTTTTAACATAAGCATGAAACAGAAAAAAAAAAAACACAAGATACTACAAGATTAACAGCGCTATATCAGAATCATATTTGATTATATATACTAAAATGAAAAGAACTGCACCTCATGAAGAGTTCCATCACCTCCAACTGCAATCACAGCATCTGCACCCTCACTTATAGCCTGTAAACCATTATCCATTAACTTACACAACAAAGATAGTGGCCCCTAACTCAAACTCCTCAATAGCCAACGTAAACCAAGTTCAATCACAATTGAAAATGTAATAAAAAAAAAACCTTAATTCCTACCTCCCTAGTTATGTCAATTGCATGTGAAGGACCCGAAGTCAAAGATTCACATATCTGCCACAACATAGAAAAACATTCTCATTACTTTCACATGATAAACAACCTGGTTAATGCATATTTTATTTCCAGAGATTTGTTATAGATGCTGGAAATTTCACAGAAAAAGAAAAGAAAAAACAGTGAAAAAAATTAAATTGAACTCTTAATTGAGTGCTAAAAGACATTAAAAAATAAACATAAATGAATACCAAATGGCATCTAAGAAAAATAGACTGATCCAATGAATTGAGCAATGGAATGTACCCAAATTAATCGGAAAAAACACTCACGTTACAATCACTACCGAGACGAGATTGGAGATAAGGAAGCAGTTTCTTCCACTCTTTGCCCGTTCTCCCATTAGCACCTGCTCCAATTCATCATTCAAACAAGCGTGAGAATTCTGGAGCGAAAACATTTTCTCAGCAAACAAACAAAAGCTCAAAAGAAAGAGAAAAGAGAAGAACAAAAGAAAAAAAAAAAAACCTCGAGGATTGACGACGAAGACGAGATCACGACCGCGAAAAGGAGAAGAGGAGTCACCACGGAAGACGGAACGGTCAGAGGAGAGATCAGGAGCCATGGAATGCTCGGCTCGCAACACCGAAGGTTTCGCCATCGAAAAGCGTGCCCCAACCGAGGCCACTAAGTGATAATAATGGCAAACCATTTTCGTTTCATAGGCTCTTTTAATCGTTTGTTTCTCTCTTTTAAGCAGCGAATCCCGTCCTTTTGTTCGAGCGTCCCCAAGACAGATTTCAAATCAGCTGTCTCTTTTGTATCCTAACTTTGATTTAGTTGATTACAATTACGAGAGACGACGGAGGAACCTAAGGACTGTGGGCCCTCGTCCCTTGAGCACCGCTTGTCCTTCGTACTTCCTAGCTTTTGACTACCAAAATTTTCATTTCGATTTGCTTCAATACAAAAAAAGATTGACATTTTGTAATCCAAGTTATACACGTACAATTAAGTACAATTAATGGGTGAATTGGGTCAAGTTTATTGGAGTTAAAACAATTCAAGCTAAAATTAATTGAAATTGGTCGTGAGTACGTACTTGTTTACTTTGATGTTTGCATGCTTGTTATGTATATATATGAAAAACAAAATCTTGACTACGTTTATGAGTTGCTTCAGTCCAAGAATCAAACTAAGCAATTCGTAGATAAACTTGATTCAATTTACACTATACCCCAAGCCAAGGAAACAAGGCTGAGCAACCTGAACGGAAACTGGCCCTGAAAATGACCAAATGTAGCTATGGGAATTGGGAACAAGAAAGTTGAGAAATAAAGAAGCGGATTGATTTTCCTTGACATTGGATTCAGAGGTTACAAATGCAGAATTGAATCGCGATTGAAACTGATGCATTTGACATCATTCTCTAGGGCATATGTTCCGAAAATGGTGTAATTATACAACAAAATGGTACAGAGATCCTTTGCCCTTTAGCAGCGAAAATGCTCTCATCTCCGGCCCCTGCCACCCTTTTTCTCAAAGTGGTGAGCCTTCAGCTTCTTCTTGCGTGGTTGGACTGAAGGACCACCACCTTCTCTGAAAGGCATGCCCATGAGGGCCAATAGCTTCTGGCCTTCCCTGTCAGACTTGGCTGTTGTTGTGATGCAAACATCCATTCCTCTGGGTTTACCAAGTGCATCAAACCTGATCTCAGGGAACACGCTCTGTTCACGAATTCCAATACTGTAATTTCCATGTCCATCAAAACTATTAGGATTTAAGCCTTGGAAATCCCTGGTCCTAGGAAGCCCCAAGTTAATGAGCCGATCTAGGAATGAATACATAACCTGTCAAATTAATCACCAACAATACAGCAAAAGATATCAGTATTCAAATGTGCACAAAAATTATTACTACTTCTGATTAACAAGATGGCCATGCAACAATGAGAACTACACATGCACAAACAAGTTTGAGAGCCTGATATAATCGTACGATGGCTAGCAATTCACACAAACATATAAATAAATCAAAGACTTTAACCTGCATATACAGGAAAGTTAATCCAAGGAGCATAGCACAGTTATCATTTCCTTAGTTCGTTTTTTCTCCCTCCTATGATTCATCTGCTGAAGTCTAATGT